AAAGCATAATGCTGGTGGTCAACAGAAGAGGTTTAAAGACTCTCTCAAGGCAAATCTTTAAAAATGTAGTATAAACACCAACAACTGGGAAACACTAGTCTGCAAGCGCTCCAGCTGGAGAACAGCCTTTACCAAAGGTGTCATGGGCTTTGTTAAGACTATCCTACTCTGAGTTGAGTAACTGGAAACACCCTAAATTTAAGAAAAGAAATGCAATGTGCATTCCTGGACATTGTGGCAGCTGCGTGACATTCCACCACATGGTGGTGGGAACCTTCCATGTATTGCAACTCAGCTTGGCTGTCTTCATTGGAGAACAGCCTTCACCAAAAGTGTCTTGGGCTTTGAAGACGCTTGAACTCAGAACGAAAGGGAGAAATGTGCTAAGAGGAAGGCACGCTTGGCAAACCCTCACCATGATCAACTCCCTCCAGGAAACTTATGTCCCCACTGTAGAAGGACATGTGGTTCCAGAATTGGCCTCCACAGTCAGTTATGGACTCACTGTTAAAACCGTGTTTATGGAAGACAATCTTACTCGACTACGAGTGATCACCAAAGAAGAAGATGAAGTAATGCTAGAAGCCACATGCTAGCAGGTATCGCACAAACATCTGGTCAGCCATTGTGAGAACGGGATTCTGAACTAAATGAGCCATTGGCCTGATCCAGCAGGTTCTTCTTAAGGTCAAAGGTTAGAGTCATACCTGTGGCTCCACCCACTTTTACCTCTGGTACACAGGCCCCAGAAGATTACTGGGTTCCGCATTCCTGGCCTAGTCTAAGCAATAAATTTGCTGTGAGGATACAATAGAACAGCCCAAATTATGCCACTTTTACCAGACAAATGAGATTCACGTTTTGTCTTTAAACTGTAGCAGTCCCCAAACCTTGTATTAGAAAGAAAGCATAAGAAGTCCAGCAATCTAAAGATTAGTTGCAAGTATAAAATCAATTCTGATTACAAAATTAAGCTGCTAAATAAGAGCACCTGGGGAAGGAGATAAAGTAGTGTGAAGCTTTTGGGCCTATCCTATCACATGAAGATAAGAATATAATTGCTCCTTAAACAGTTAGCTGAGATGGCATTAGATAGCTGCATTAGCACCTTTAATTTGAAGCGAGGAGTGTTCTAAGGATGTGGGCTCTGGATTCTATTGTGCATTTTCATCTGAACAAAACATGCTCACTTTCCCACAACCTCCCACAAAAGGAAACTCAAACAAGTTTGTACACAGCAAATCTTCAAGGTCAAAGTACAGGTCATTCAATACCACTCTAGGTCATTGGAAAATAGGAAGAGCCTGCTAGACCAGTGCTCCATCTTGTCAAGCATCCCAACTAGATCGCAGAATCATTGAATTGCAGAGTTGGAAGGGACCCCGAGGGTCATCTAGTCCAACCCCCTGCAATGCAGGAATCTCAACTAAAGCATCCATGGCAGATGGACAGCCAACCTCTGCTTACAAACCTCCAGTAAAGATGTCCACAGGACATGAGTGCATCAGCAGTCTTCCCTCCTGCGTTTTCCAGCCACTGATACTCAGAAGCATACTGCCTCCAACCGTGGGAGGTAGAACATTCCCGTCATGGCTCGTAGTCTTTGCAAACCTTATCCTCTGAATTTCTCCAATCCTTTTAAATAAATAAATAAGTAAAAAATTCCACATTTGAACAGGTTAGACAATAATAAGTTTTCTTTCCCCCTTGTTCTCCTTTATTTATTTATTTTGACAAAGTAATAATCCTAAATAAATAAGAATAAAAATGTGCAGCCCACTACCGAGACCATTCCATTGTAACTATCCAACTTCCCAAAATTTTGACACCTCTTGCGATGGTTTGACGCCTTTCCGTTTTAACGGTACACATTCCACAAACACCCACCACATCTCCTCAAAATCATTTCTCCTGCATATTCCCCATCTTACCATAATGGTGCTAATTTATCATTCGTAGCTATATCCCACACCTCTTTATACCATTCTTCCATTTTATATTCTGCTTGCCTCTTCCACTTCCTAGCTATAATAATTCGTGCAGCTGTCAATAAATTTGTGAGCAAGTCCTTCATAGCCGGTGAACCTTCCACCCCATCATAAATTGATAATAATGCTACCTCTGGACTCTCCAATCCTTTTTTAAACCATTCAAGAGGCTCACTGCCTCTTGTGGGAACAAATCCTGCAATTTAACCATGTGCTAGAGTTCCCATCACCTCTGAACACTGGGTCTTGCTAGCTAGGGATGATGGGAGTTTTAGGCCAAAACCAACCAGAGACCCAAGTTTGGGAAGCCCTGCATTAGAGCAAAGAAGGAGCAGCATATTCTAGCATCCTGATCATTCAGAGCTTGATGGTAGCTTCCTAGTTCATCTTTCTTGCTTGCACTATGGGAGGAGAGAAGTTGGGGTGCTGCTCTTTCACAATAAGCCATACAAATGCTGCCTCAGGCAGTGGTGGAAATAATAATGCAGTGGATCCAAATAACCATATGCCACCCCCCGGTCTGGTCCCAAAATGAGTACGCATAATCTACAAGGTCCCAAACACCAAATAGGACTAGCTTTGAGGAGGCTGGCTGTCCTGGATGCATCAGTACATAGGCAAGGATTTACAGGAAATGGGCAAGGATTTCTGACTCCCAATTCTTTAACAAGAGGAAGAAAAGGAGGATTCTCCACCCATGCCTCCTGCCACCACATACTAAATTAGATGGCTGAAATGAAGAACAGCCAGGCCCAGGATCACCAGGAAGAGATTTTTTGCATGGAAGGATTCTGAGCTCAGCAGAGTTCTGGTGCTTGAAACAGAGCCATATGCCCAGCAATTGTTCCACGGCACCATGTTCTTTCATTATAAGATCATGTCTCGTGCACCTGGTTCAGACTGGTGGGACTCAAAGGTCTGGCAAAACACAAAGTAGATCCTGCAAGCCTTTTCCTGATGCGCACAGCAGATTGCAAGCAAGGATGCATTTTCAAATATTATGTCTGGAGGTGGATATGCATGCTGAAGAGCAATAATGAGAAAAGCACTCTGGGTGCGAGAGGAAGGAAGGTATCTTTACTCACCAGGAAATGCAAGAAAGCCTTCTGAGTATGAGTATGAGTATGAGTATGAGTATAACCCTATCCAGCTAAATGAAACCCTTGCACATAACACCGGTCATGAGAGATCTGATTTGGCTCCCAGTACGTTTCCGAGCACAATTCAAAGCATTGGTGCTGACCTTTAAAGCCCTAAATGGCCTTGGTCCTGTATACTTGAAGGAGCATCTCCACCCCCATCGTTCAGCCCGGGCACTGAGATCCAGCGCCGAGGGCCTTCTGGCGGTTCCCTCATTGCGAGAAGTGAGGTTACAGGGAACCGGACAGAGGGCCTTCTCGGTAGTGGCACCCGCCCTGTGGAACGCCCTCCCTTCAGATGTGAAGGAAATAAGCAGCTATCTTATCTTTAAGAGTCAACTGAAGGCAGCCCTGTTTAGGGAAGTTTTTAATATTTAATGCTGTATTGTTTTAACACTCGATTGGGAGCTGCCCAGAGAGGCTGGGGAAACTCAGCCAGATGGGTAGGGTATAAATAAATAAATAAATTATTATTTATTTATTTATTTATTTATTTTTATTATTATTATTATTATTATTATTATTATTATTATTATTACACAACCCCTCAGTAGTGCATCCCTCCCTATCCTGGTGTTCAGGATTGCAGCTCCCATAAGCGCCAGCCAGCAAGGCGAAAAGTCAGGAATGATGGGCTTTTAGTCCAAAACTGGAAGGCACCAGGTTAGGGTATGCACTGGAAAACATCCCAGCAGATAACACCCATCTTTTTCTGTGTCACATTGCCCTTTATCACAGCTGTCCTTTGGTCAAAGATTGCAATATGGATCCATTCATTTGCCTAAAAGCCATTGCTTTACATTGTCAACTAAACAGAAAATAATGATTGAGGAACTTCTGGTATTGGATCTAAACAGTGGCAGAGCTAGCTTTTCACTCTCAAATAAAATCTTGATGAGACATTACATTTTATACACAGCGGAGAGTCTCTGTTAAATGCTACCATATTTATATGCTAATTTTTTTAGCAGAAATCATTACACACTGTAATTTATGCAAAAATGGTGCAGGGAAAAAAAATAATTTCTCAAGCATCGCTTCTAAACCATTAATGTCAGTGTAAACAAAGCTCCCTGTTTAATACTATTAAGCATAATGTGCTTATTTATTTGCTTCTTTTTTATTAGGTGAAACCGATCAAGCCATATAATATAAAAGAGAGTTTGTTTTTAAAACTGCCGTATTTTAGTGTTTGCATAGTGGCCATGTTCAAACAAGAAAGCATCCGTGTTGAATTCTTTCAAAGTGTGAAATAAATGCACCATCCTAATCATTAGGGACTGGTGAGAAGCCTATTTGTGTATGTTTCCAGGGTGAGCTTATATCTATGTGTGTACAATCTAATGTGCATTGGCAAAAATTGCATGACCAACTTCCCTTATTGAGGAGGCAATCCTATGGCAAAATCCATAGTTTGGGAAGCAGCAGATCTCCAGCTCAGCCAGGTGATTAACTGCTCACCTGGACTCAGCCAGTGTTAAGGGCCACCAAATGGAAGATGGAGGAAGCTTGTTTTCTCCTTCTCCAGAGAGAGTAGGACCTGAAGCAATGGCTCCATTTTCGAAGAAAGGAGATTCCATCTCAACATGTGGAAGAACTTTCTGATGGTAAGAGCTGTTTGACCGTGGAATAGACTCCCTCGGAAGGTGACGGACTCTCCTTCATTGGAGTTTTTTTAAGCAGAGGTTGGATGGCCAACTGTCATGGATACTTCAGCTGGGATTCCTGCATTGTGGGGCTTTAGACCCTCAAGACCCCTTCCAACTGTACAGTTTTATGATTCTAAGTCTCCTAACCCAGCTCAGCTGAAGATACTCCAGTGTAACTTGCCTATCCCAAATCAGCTGAGGCTCAGCTGGCTGAGCTGAGGACGCTTGTAAATATAGCTCAGTTGGTAGAGCGTGAGACTCTTAATTGCAGGTCATGGGTTTGAGCCCCACTGTCAGGAGTATGTGCAGGAGCCAGGCCCTGTGACCAGTAGGGCTTTGCAGGACTGGGGCCTTCCTAAGTTTGTTCTGAAGAGGCAAGGCGCGGCTGCACAGGCGAGGCTGCTTGGTAATTCACTGCACCTGGTGACTAGAGCCAGGAAGGGATATAGGGTCAGCATTTCGCTTCGGCTCTTTGCCACAGCAACACGTTTCCTGCCTTGCTGCGTTTGGCTTCTTGCTTCCTGATCCTTGGATCTCGGCTTCTTGACTCCTTGCTTCTCGACCCTCGGTCCCTTGACTTTGTGACTCCCTGCTTCCTGACCCTCGGATCCCTGGCTTCTGGACTTTCATTCCTGCTCCCACCCCACCATTTTGCCCCTGGTCCTGATGTCCTCAGCTGGGACTTTGATTGCCCGTAGACCAGACCGTGACACCTACATTGGGCAAAAGAGTCCTGCTTTGCAGAGAGCTGGACTAGATGACGCTCATGATACCTTCTTACTCTTGTATGATTCTAAGTCCTTCCAAAAGGGGCATTCTGGAGGTGTTGACGGGATGATGCCAGAGAGCAATGGCTTATTTTGGATCCTAAACAGGTTTGGTTTGATCACTGGTAACCTGGCATTCTTCATCGTCTTTGGCGATCACTCGTAGCTTGAGAAAGAATGTCTTCCATGAATACGGTTTTAACAGTGAGTCTGTAAGTGACTGTGGAGGCCAATTCCGGATCCACACGTCATTCCACAGTGGGGACATAGGTTTCTGGGTGGGAGCTGATCACAGTGAGGGTTTGCCAAGTGTGCCTTCCTCCTAGCACGTTTCTCCCTTGCATCCTGAGTTTGAGTGTCTTCAAAGCCCATGACACCTTTGGTAAAGGCTGTTCTCCAATTGGAGCGCTCGCAGACCAGTGTTTCCCAGTTGTTGGTGTTTATACTACATTTTTTAAAAGATTTGCCTTGAGACAGTCTTTAACTTGGCATAAAACCCTGTTATAAAGTCTTGTGTTCCCTCTGCCAGATTTAGGCAGAGCAGCAGAAGCAGCCCCACTGCTGAACCATGTCTGCTGTAACATTATGCCATCTTAATTTAGCACTGTCTTGCTTTACACCAGTTTAGGATTGCTCCCTAAATCAGGAATGAAAAACAGGATTTTCACCAATACACACTACACTTTTTACATGTTGTTGCTATTTGCATTCATGTGAAGAGGGCGTCATGCGCTGGCTGGGTTGAAGGAGCTATGTAGACTTGCTCTGCACCACATATTGAGCGAGATCAAGAGGGAAACACCATCTGAACTAGCCTGTGTTGTTCTGCCCACAAGCTGTTGGTCAAAGCAAGCACATCGCTTATGATGAAACCCTGGCAACTCTCTGTTTTCCTGACATATAAAACCGCTCAGTTTATTGCACTCTTTTAAATGGCTTTGATCTTTTGAATATTCTGTTTTAGCCTCTGATGCAAGTTGTTGTGATCTTGCATTTAAATCTGGCCTCATTTTCCTGCAAACATTTAGGTGTGCTTTTAACTATTCATAAAACATTGTATTATTGGTAAGGAAATAAAAGTAATGGGTTTTCATTAAAGCGTGCATTAAATAAATGTCAGCTTCTACTTTAAAAATATAGCTGGGGCTCCACAGCCGCGGCTCCCTCTGGTTAGTTCGAACCAATGTGTAGGATTCAGCCCTGCTGTTCCATCCCTTTGCATTAGTGCTGCTTGTTTCAAATCCCAACACTGCAGGGATCCAGCCCTACAATGAGGGATAGGGGAGAAATCTGATTCAATAATGGCAAACCAACCTAATTTGCACTTTCTGAAACACAGCTGTCCTTTGAAATTTGCAATTCCTGGCATTCTGCAAGTGATGTCTTACAAGTATTCATTTATTTCAGTCAATAACCAGTTGAGGAGGAGGGAAGAAAACAAAATACACAAAACACAGTATGGTATATCAAGTACAATATTAAATATAGAATTTAAAAAAGGATGTAAAATATAAAAAGTGGGAAATATAAAATTATTATATTAAAATGCTGAGGAACAACTTACAAGTCTTTTGCATTACAAAAATGCACAGCAAAGTGTGTATAGAAATGCAGATATTTAGTGTAAATAACAGACCCCCTCTCCACTGTGTCCCTATTTTTCAAGGACAGTCCCAGATTTACAGAAGCTGTCTTGCTTTTCCTTAGGATTTTCAGCAGATAATTGTTGGGAGGTATAGAGTTATGTGGCCCCCAAGCTGAGGAGGTAAGTAACCACGCATGCTTTAGAAGGCAGCCCTGTATAGGGAAGATACTAATACTTAATGTTTTATTATGTTTATATATATATGTTGGAAGCCACCCAGCATGGCTGGGGCAACCCAGTCAGATGGGTGGGGTAGTAGTAGTAGTAGTAGTAGTAATTAATAAATAGAATAGTTTGTCCCTATTGGAGGGTATGATATAAGAATACATTACTTCAACTGGTCAAAAATTGCAATGGCCAGATCACTGGAGTTCCTTTGGAACTCATGCATCGTTTGTGTTAAAACAGCTGCCAGTTCATTTCTGGGTACAATTTAAGCTGCTGGTGTTCAAAGCCCTAAACAGCTTAGACCCCACATAGCTGCAAGACCACCTTCTTCCCTGAAGGGGTCCTCACAGATGTCAAGATATGCTAAAGAGACCCTCTTCACCTTGGTATGTGTGTGTGTGTGTAAAATATTTCAAAGACCCACCTATTCCTGTAATTTTGTTTGCGTGACCAGGCGCGACAGCCCCAGCCCCCAGGGAACGTGGGAAAGGAAATAAAGACTCTGACAATGTTGTGGAATTAAAATTAGGCCACAACTTTATTCAACTTCCAAATGTAGGAAGACGTTGGCTTAGGCCTTGGATGTGTATCCCTCCCAGCCCCCCAGCTGGGGAACTGGGGCTCATCAGGGTAAATGGGATATGGGGGTGCTCTGCGTGACGTAAGTGTAGGCAGGCAGCCGAGCCCATATCCCTGAACGCAGGGTAGTTCACTGACAACCTTTCAGTGTATGGCCAGTGACACCCATTTATGTAACCCCTTTAAGACAAAGGGGGCAAAGGAAAAAAATGGTAGATAGGTGAAATTCGCACACTGAAGTGTTCTATTTGCATGAGAACTTTCTGAAAATTCATAAACTTGTGTGGAAATGTGGAGCGCTGAACTTAAAGATTTGAGGGGAAGGAGATGACAAATGGTGATAAACCAAACTGACACATTTGCCCACCCTCAATCCTCACAGCAACCCAGAAAGTGAGATTGTGTTGAGCAAAACTTACTGCCCAAATTACTCAGAGAGCTTCATGACTGAGTCGAGCTTTGAGGACAGATATCTCTAATTTTAGACTGACACTTCAACCATCAGTTCTATGGGAAAGCCAGGTAAAATTCCCTAAAATAATAAATCATGACTAAACAATGGGCAAAAAGGAAGGGGGGAAAACACATCCACAGATAGGAACTGCATGAGTGAGAAAGAAAATATCATTGCTTCTACTGGGGGCTCATGAAGATTGCTTCAGGAAGCCTTGTGAACTCGCGGCTCGCCCTTTCAAGTCGAAATGGTTGTCACAGCTAATCTGGCATCCGGTTTTTGTGTCATTCCGATATATCACCAGGGGGTTTATTATCTAAGAGGGATTTTACTTTATTTTTTAAAGAAGGAAAGATGAAGGCCTCTCCTCCATTCGGAACACATTCTATTTTTCCAATTTGGTATCACACGCCGGTGGCAGAGGCACACATTGGGACCGCATACTAAAAAAAGCTCCCAGAGCCTGGAGTTTGAAACATGGCAGTGGGCATTAGCAGTGTGGCAGATGAGATGCCAAGACTGCACTCGGAATTGGAAGATGAAAGGCTTCTGGATGAAAGTGGCGTTTCAAGGGAAGCTTCCGCCACTCTGTTGTGTTCTGTGATTCTCTGTGGAATTCTGACTTCCCCACGATGCTTGAATTTTTCAATGGGCTTGTCCTATGCATTCTCCTCAAAAGATGCTTTTCTGGTATGGAAAGCCCAGACAGAGTACAAGGGGATGAAATGAGAGCCAATATTTGCATTTCCTCTTTGTCTCCTTTCTTAGGAAACTCAAGGGCTACTGCTAAATCTTACAGCTTTTCAGTGTTTCATACCATGCCCCGCTGTTTTGCTGCCAGTTCGTTATAGTCCCTGGTTCCATCTCAGACTTTCAGATGTCTTGCAATACTGTTATCTAACTGTGCGAACTGGAAAGATTTCTGCAATGACCTCACCCACTTGGGAAGATGCAAAACTGGAACCATTTTGGACCCAATGGCCCCTGCGGGCTATTTATTTGTAATAGGGTGTTTATGTAGCAAAGGGACATCACTACCAGTCCTTGTCTGGAATACTGCAGCATAGCAACAGCTGATCATGGCTGGTGGGATTTGCAGAGAGGTGATGGCTAGAAAGCAGTCCGAAGGGTGAGTGAGCGTTTTTTCAACATGAGGTGCACATTACCTTCTGGGCAATCTTGCATCATCCACATGGTGGTAGTGGGAGGGGCCAGAAGCTACAGTGGGCAGAGCAGCATGCGATGGGCGCGTTGGTACTTTTTCCTCTCACACCATTGGGCCCGCTCTCACTCAGATAAATTGCCCCCACCTTACTGAAAAACCCTTTACCCGAAGGTTTCTTTTCCTTTCCTCTTTAAATTCTATCCCAGAGTATCCTGCTAGTAAGTTGGCGTCTCAGACAGGTTTTCTTTAAATAAACAATAAGGCAAGATAGTATATAACACAAATGGATTAAACTTAGGTTACTTCAAGAATACAGTGCGATTTCACTTTAATTCGCCCTCAGTTGTTTCTTTGCATTATAGGTTTGGCTCCTTTATCCAGCGGTTCTCAACCTGTGGGTCCCCAGATGTTGTTGGACTACAACTCCCATCATCCCTGAGCTCTGGTCTTGCTAGCTAGGGGTGATGGGAGTTGTAGTTCAACAACATCTGGGGACCCACAGGTTGAGAAAGGCTGCCTTT